TATTTTTATCTTATCTATTATTTTATTTATTTATTACTACTATTTATTAATATATATATATATATCTTATTATTATTATTATTTTCTGTTAATATTTATATGTATATTTATCAGATTATATGTTATAATTTATCTGTTATTTAATTTTAATTTATCTGTTAATTTTTTTATTTATCTTATTTATTTTCATTAATATTTTTATTTGATTTTTTTATTTTTTGATTTATTCGGCTGAAGATTGGATTGGGATTCAATCAGAATAGTCCATGTTGAATTCAATGATTGAATTTCGATCCAAAGAGGAGTTGGGATTGATCAAAAACTCTTCGGATCAATCCCTATAAAAGGACCCTCAAAATCAAAGGAAGCACATAGAAAAACAGAAGGAAAAGAGTATTGGTTGAGAGAAAAAGGTAGACAGAAGAGATTCGAAAGCTGAAAAAGGGTTTAGAGGCGTTAGAATAGCTTTAGGAATCATTGGGAAATTTTTGAAGATTTTTCTGTGAATTTTTTCTGGAAATTTCTGGAAAATTTCCAAATTTCGGTTAAATTTTTTGGCGAAAGTTAAATTTTTCGACGACGATTTCGGTCAAGATTGAAGTTTTCGACCAGTTGCCCAGTTTTCGGTGAAGATTCCCAGAAATCGACCAACTTTTCGATGAACTTTCGGAGAAAAAACTAGATTTCGATGAATTTTCTAGAATTCGGTGAATATTCAACCGGAGTTCTTCAGAAAGTTTAGAGAGAAAGAGGAGAAGAGAAAGGAAGAGAGAGAGAGAAGAAGAAGCTCAGTTTGCTAAAAAAATGAAGGAATCAGCCTTATATACCCTCTCAAAACGACGTCGTTTTTGCATTAAGTAACCCAGAGGATCCGCGCGTTTTGTCGAGATCTGACTCGAGTCGAGCATCGACCCGCTTTCGACCCACGCGTGTCTCGTTTCTCCGAGCTGTTAGTCGAGCCGAGCCGACACCCCTGAGCCGCTTTTTCGAGCCGTTTTTCTTCCTTAAGCCGAGCCGACACCCTGAGCCGCTTTTTCAAGCCGTTTTTCTTCCTTAAGCCAAGCCGAGCTGTTAGCCGAGCCGTTCTAGGTTTTTTTTTCTTTTTTTATATATTTTATTTATTTATTTATTTATTTTATTAGATTAGGTTTATTTAATATTCTTTTATTTTTATCTTTATTTTATTTTTATTTTTGTTTTACTTTTCTTTATTTTTTTATTTTCACTTTTATTTTGTTTTATTATTTTATTTTCTTTAAATAAAATCCAAAAAAAATATTTTTGGAGAAAAGTTGAAAGTATCAATTTTCCTTAAAAATAAATTTTCAAAAAAAAATTTTTGAGGAAAAGTTGAAAGTATCAATTTTCCTTAAAAATAAACTTTCTAAAAATATTTTTGGGGTAAAGTTGAAAGTATCAATTTTCCTCGAAATTAAGGTTTCTAAAAAATATTTTTGGAGAAAAGTTGAAAGTATCAATTTTTCTTAAAAATAAATTTTCAAAAAAGGTTTTTGAAGAAAAGTTGAAAGTATCAATTTTCCTTGAAATTAAAGTTTCAAAAGATATTTTGGGAAAAAATTGAAAGTATCAATTTTCCTCGAGATTAAAATTTCTAAAAAATATTTTGGAGAAAAGTTGAAAGTATCAATTTTTCCTGCACAAAAACAATAATTCTTTTCTTCCTTTTTATTTTTTAATGTTAAATAATCCGACGATGGAGCCTCTGCAAGTGAAACAGTAGTTTTCTTGCATACTCTTGAAGTGAGAGAATTTTCTTAATTTTTTGCTAAAAGTATTAGAGTCAATTGAGAATAATTTTCAATAATTAATCACTTGATAAATTTTTAAAGCTCATTGGATAATACAAATTTAAGTTGGTACCATCTTTTGATGGGCTTTGTAAGGGTGCTATAACCTTCCTCACACGTAACCGAACTCCCAAACCCTGTTCTGGTTAGTAGACCTGAACCTATTCTTTTAAGGACCCTTAAACTTAGGTGTTCCTTAAAAGGACAGATTCCTTGGATGACCAATCGCACCTAGATAAAAAAGATTGGTGGCGACTCCTTCAAATCAATGTCTAACGATGGATTCCCGGATCTAGACGTTATGACACTCCACTAACTTCTCCATACTGCAAGTGGCCTAAGAAAAAGGCCTCATTTAATTTCATTTTCTCTTGGAAAATAAGGTCTTCTGCTTGGTTTTACACGTTCAGGCAAATACTTGTCTCTTATCACATTAAATAAAGTCTTCTGCTTGATTTTACACGTTAAGACAAATACTTGTCTCGTTGCAATTTTTTTCTTTTATACTGTTTTGTTCACTTCTGGGAGAGTTTGAAATTTATTACGGACAAGAGAAGACGACCTTGACTGTAATTGCCAAAGTTTCCTGCAATTTACAATTTAATTAATTATGTTGGCCACTTTAGAGACAGTGTGGACGAATTCAATTTCCCAAATCTCAATTCTAATACTATCAGTCCATACTATAAATTTTATTTTTGCACAGAACACGAGTTAATTATTAAATATTACGTCACAGTAGCGTTTCTTCAACCATCTCTTTTTTATTTTTATTTATTTTTTTACTTTTTTCTCAAAATTTTTAAAATATTTCATAAAATTCTCCACAGTTACTAATCCTTAGCAAATAACATGATTGGGATGTTTATTTTCGATCATTTATTTTCCCTATTAACAAATTATTACGCTGCTACATATGAAAGACATTGAATTAATCAATTGCATTGTTCCTTTGGATCTTATTTTTGTTGGCACTCCCACTAATTTCTTCATACTGCAAGTGGCCTGAGAAAAAGACCTCATTTACTTTCATTTTCTTTTTGGAAAATAAGGTCTTCTACTTGGTTTTACACATTAAGACAAACACTTGTCTCTTGTCACATTAAATAAGGTCTTCTGCTTGGTTTTACACGTTAAGACATACTTGTCTCGTTGCAAATTTTTTCTTATACTGTTTTGTTCACTTTCGGGAGAGTTTGAAATTTACCACCGACGAGAGAAGAAGATCTTGACTGTAATTGGCAGAGTTTCCCGCAATTTGCAATTTAATTAATTACAACTGATGCTGATGCATTTGCTTTCTCATATGTCATATCCAACTAAGCTTGATCTTTGGGAGCAAATGAATGGTCTTGCTTTCCTTTTAAGCCACATGTCCAAATGGAATTAGATAAATTGTTATTATAGTTTTCCACTGTAAATTAGATGTTGTCTGTATAAAATAGTGTAAATGTTTTTATGACATCTTGTTATATGATATCTTATTATTAGACTTATCTAAGGATCAAACTATTTGCTAGGTCCAATTCAATAGAATTCTTAATAAGATTTTTGTTGAGAATTTATCTTGAATCTCTTATTCTCACATTGGAAATTGAGTAGAGTTATAAAAGTTGAGGGTTTATTTTGAACCCCACATATTATTGAAATAATAATGGAAATATTAAAACAAAAATAGTAATTTGAAAATATTTATTTTTAAAAGAATAAGAATAATAATAATAATAAATCCAAAATGATAAACTTAATATATTGAATTTTTTAAAAATTACAATAATAAAATTTAACCTATTCGGTTAATTATTTTCTTTATTTTTATTTTTATTTTTATTCAATTTACTGTTATATTTATAAAAAAACATATTAAATTTAATTCATGCTCATAATTAGAATTAAATAAACAGAGGAAAAAGTTAAAAAATAAAATCTTAAAACGGTCTTTGATGTTTTTCTTATTATCACTTTTTATTTTATAAAATAGTTAAAAGATATATGCGAAATGTAAGAAAAAACAAATGGCCTAATTGGCTGCCAAATGGGAACCAATTGAAGCCTTAATTGTTGTCTTTTATAGAAAATAATAATAAAAAAAAACTTAATATAATTAAATGACGGAAAAAGTTTAAAAAATAAAACAGTAAAACAGTTTTTGATGATTTTCTTTTTTAACATGGTAGAAAATGATAAATAATATGATGAAAATATTGATAATAAAGTAATAAATGATCCATAATATTCTAGAAAATTCCATAATTAATATTAATAACAAGTGTCAATGGTTAGTAATTGGTGAATAACATAATCGTAAATTTCATATTTATAATTTTATAATTTATTGGTATATAATATGATATCACTTACAGGAACACATCACTTATAATTAATTGTGTTTGAATATCCAATAATAAATTAAAATTAATTTCATTCTTTTTTATTTCTTAATTTCTTCTTTTTTTTTAGAACATGTATATAGATTAAATTTTTTTATATGCACTAAATTAAAAAATTTTAAGTGGTGACATTCATGTATTAAACAATTCACATTAACACATATGTAGCGAAAACTACTATAAGCCAAAGTACAGGGGAGAAAATAAAATAATTATAAAAAACCTATTTAGTAGAAAAATGAAAAATAACTAAAAATAAATATAAATTCATATGAGGTAGTTGTCGGCAAACCGTGAAACCCTGATAGAAAGTTATCCGGAAATTAACTCCAAGTCGCTTGACACTTCTCATACTTCGTATTCATATCTTTGCAATGAGTTTCTATTTTCTAACTAGCACATTTATTTATTTTTATTACATATTAAAATTACAATCATACAACTTTTAATATATATATAAATAAGATAATACATTCCTAGACAAATTAATAAATAAATCAATCAAAATCAGCCTAAAGTTAAATTAATTAAATTCATATAATAATAAGATTTTAATATAAAGCCTAAAGATTCAAGACTTTTTCTTTATCTTGGAATAAAACTTCATTGATAGCTTAAGCAAAGTTTTAATTTGTGGAAAATAAAAGTCTTCTGCTTGGTTTTACACGCAAAGACGGGTCTTGTCTCTTTGCAATTTCCCAATAACTTTCGATCAGGGTTTGGCGGTTTGCCGACAACTACCTCATATAATTTTATAATTTATTCGTGTAAGTAAAATATAATATGATATCCCTCATGGTAGAGCAGCCTATAGAATTTATAATGATGCAGCTGAATCCCTCAGTAGCTCATCCATTCCCTCTGAACAGCCTATGGAAGAAAAGGTTATCACCTACATGGACCTTGTTTTGTTCAAAGCTGCGGCGGATGGTGACGTGGAAGTATTTAGTAACTACCAAGGTGCTCTTGATTGCCTGATTGACGGAAGCCAAAACACAGTGCTTCATATTTACTCCAGAACCGGAGGACGCCTGGTAGTCAAAAATGTTAAAGGGTTTCTGTGTTTTCAGAAAAGGGTATTTGAAAGAGAGTTCTCCATTAACTTTGTGGAGCAACTTGTCGACAAGTGCCCATCACTGCTACTGCAACGCCATGCCAACTGGGAAATTCCGTTGCACATTGCAGCAGGACATGGGCATTCTGGCATAGTCAAAGTCCTTATTGAACGCGCCAAAGTAGTGCTATATGAAGACCCGGAGTGAGCGTTGGAAGCAACCAGGGCGAGGCAGATGCTGAGAATGAAGGATGAGGAAGAAATTACTGCTTTCCATGTGGCCGCTCGATATGGTCATCTTGATGTGTTGCGACTATTCGTCAAAGAAGATCCTGATTTTGCTTTCTCCTCTAATACAAGCGGTGAGACTCCACTCTACTTAGCTGCCAAGGGAGGATATCCCGGTTTGGTTGCTGAGATGTTAGATAATTGCAAATCAACGGTTTATGGCGGACCCCATGGTAGAACGGCTTTGCATGCAGCAGTCCTGGCCGGAGATGAAAGTAAGTGATCGGTTCATTATTCTGTGTTATGTTGTTATTGTTATTGTTTTGGGATATTTATTAATTCAGGATTATGATAAGATAAAATAAAATAATATTATGAATAAGATTAAATTAAATAATATCATTTTATTTTATGTTTGGTACAAAAGATTATGGTAAGATAAAATAAAATAAGATTATGAATAAAATTAAATTAAATAATATCATTTTACTTTATATTTGACTTGTGCAAGAATTACGATAGATAATTTATTTATTGGTCAAAATTATAATTACAATAGATAATTTATTTATTGATCAAAATTATAATTTTTCAAAGTTTAAATAAGTTAAACTATTGATATAATTTTTAAAGGTATAATAATAAATGTAAGTTCAATCCTACGAATTAAAAATAATTCTCTCCACTTTAAGAAAATTAAATCATTTTATACCAAAAGAATGATAATAATTCTTATAATCCTAAAATATATACAAACCAAATATAATATAAAATAATTATCATTATATTCTATCTATCATCCTATGCACGAAATATAATTTCATTCTTCCTTGTCAACATATCATATTCACTCATCAATCAGTTTTTTTTCTGCCTCTTAAAAATTGTTTAGGTTAACTTCATAAAGCCAAACCCATACATAAATAAGCTTATATTTATGCTTAGTGCATAAATTTTATTTATTGATATTGAATCATATAATTAAATGATGTTACTTCATTAATACTAAAACATAAATTTTTATTACCCTTCAAATAAATACAAAAAATTTAAATTTTTTTTAAAAAGTTATTCTTAATGAGTTCATATCATTTAATTCATTAATACACTGATAGTATATCAAATATAAATTCTAATTGAATTTTTTTATATCAGAGTTAATAATTAATATACTATCAATATAAAATTTTAATTATACAAATAGAATTTAAAAATAGCACAAAAAAAACATGCATAATGTTTTAATTCTATTTATATAATTTTTATATTGATAATATATAATTATTATCTATGTGTATAATTAACCCATTATTATTACTCTTTTTAATGATTGCTGGGCGTTACACGCTACGAGAATATTATCTCCTTAGATCTTGATTGGGCGCCTTTTTACAATTTTATCTTGAGAACAGTACGTCAAAGAAGGATAGGTCATTGCTTATAAGTCATAGTCTAGCTCTTGGTCATCAAAAGTGGGATCCTTTCCCCTTAACACCAGCTATCCTAATCAAGGTACCTATTTTTCAATTGCTACAAAATTCAAATTGAGGGAAAACAAGGGAAAGGAACCATGAAGATATCTCTCACTGCATTACTAAAAAAAAAACAAACAACCAACTATTTGTTTACTAAATCAAGTAATTTTAAATTAGGGTTGTAATTGAATTGAGTCGAAATGATATAATGAGAAGTTTAAACTCAACTTAAAATTTACTCCTTGAAACTTGATTCAAATATTATCGAGTTTTAATTTTTTAATTTAAATTCAACTTAAGATAGAAATCAAACTCACTTGATAAGACTCATTTATTGAGTAAAAAATGAGCTCAATTTTCATATTTGATTTCAAATTCAATTATTTATATTCAAACTCAACTTAATATATATAAGGATAAATAGTAATTTTTTAATTAAAATATATATTAAAATATAAAAACTTAAATAGGTTCATGAGTTATTCGCATCTGACATTAAAATATTTAAATTTGATTAATTAAATAAATTGAATTGCTTGATCTCGAACTCAATTCGTAAATAACTGAATTGAATTTGAATTTTTTTTAAATCAAATCTGATTCTATTGTGAGCAAAAGTGTATCGTTTATACCCTATTCTAAGTAATGCATGGTCTGTTTCTTCTCCTGGCCAAACTAGAAAAAGAAAAAGAAAAAAAAAGTACGGTCTTCGTGAATCATTTTCAAAATTCTTTTTTATTTATTTTACCAATGAAATCTACAAAACTATTAATGATGGATCTTTTGTCGCTAAAGTAATTACTAACGGATTTTTTTTTATTTTTCAAAAATAACAAAAAAAATAATTTTATTGAAAATTATTTTTAGTGATAGATTATTTCTAATTAGCAACCAAAATTTCTATCGCTAAAAATAGAAATATTAGTAACAAAATTGGCTTTAGCGATGCAAAATTATCAACGACTGTGAGCTTTTCATCGGAATATTGGTAACAAAAAATCCAGTCACTAATAGAAATTGCATTGCAAATAGTGGTATTAGCAATGGAAAATTCCTTTTTGGGCCATTGGGCCATAGTATGGAAATTAAGGTTTTTTTTTAATTACTGTTGAGCCATTTTAATTAGGCCTTTTTTGTTGAAATAAAGTTGGGGCTATTAATTTAAGCTATTGTTGATCATTTTGCTTAAGGTCATTTTGATTAATTAATATTTTTGTAAGTTGTTTTGGTCCAAAATTAATGACTTCATTTGATAGAATATAGGACCTAATTAAATTAGTAATAAATAAATTATTTGGGCATTTTGGTTGGTCTAAATTTGTGAATTTAAATTTACTTATTCAATTAATAATTTATTTAATTTTGTAAAAACCCATTTAAATTAATAAAATTATCTTATTATTTGAATATTCACTAAATAAAATTAATTAGTTAATTAGACTTAACTTTTTGATATGCATTCGGATATAACATATTTTAGTCGTATTAAATTTTGGTTTGAAAACTCGGAGATTATTTTTAAATTACACAAATAATTAATCAAATTGATTAGAGCATACCTGTGGTGGGAATAATCATGAAGGTTTTCAAGATTTTTCTGATAATTTATTTTAGCACCTTGATTGAGAACAAAAGGACAGTGTATACCATAAAGAAACTCTAATTCTAATTGTCTGATGATACATAAATAAAATAGCAAGAATTTAAAAAAAAAAACATGATTTTAATTTAACTTGTGTCAAAGTTCAGGATTTAAATTTGGGCTTAAATCTTCCAAAATACATCCGTCTTTGCTCATAGAAGAACAAAATATATGTTTAAAGCTAAATGTGGTCACCTTTAAAATATATATATAATAAATTAAGGATTCCAATTTCGATATTTATAATTTCTTTTTATTTTCAAATTAATATATCTCATTATAAAAAGAAAAAAAATACTAATAATGTACTATTTATCTCCGAGTTGATCAAGTGCATGAGATAACCTAATTTGTGATAAGATTCAACTTCTCCTTTGTCAATCGCCTTTTTTAAGACAATGCTTACTCTATTATGATGCGAGTAGTGGTTAAAGTGTTGTAAATCATGATCTAACATCTAACATAAAATGCAAGTTGTCTATTGTCCATCTATTTGACAAGTATAGTTGAAATATTTTTGAGTTGTGTGAATATTTTTGGTATTATATAGTTAAACGGGTGTTAGGCCTTGAGGCTTTTGAGAATAAATATTAATTTGTGAAGCCAACATAACTTGGGATCTTTTGTATAGTTTTTAATTTTTTGTATAGATTTAATGTGATTTTTTTTTCTTTTTTAGATTTTATTCTTAAATATTTTTAACTTTTTTTTTTGTGAAAAAGTAAAATGTTATCTAATATTTAATTATATTAGTTCTATCAATTTATATCTTTAAAATTAGGTAAAAAAATTGAATTTTTAGATGAATGAAAAAAATAATCAATAAAAGAAAAAGAGAAAGATAAGGAGAAAGAAGAATTTAGAATAAATATTATATTTATAAAAAAATTAATTTCAAATAATTATTTTTAAATTTTAATAAATTCAAAATTTTATTGATTTATACTTTTAAAAATAAAAAATATTGATACTTAGCATAGTGAAGCCAGGGAGATTTTACTAGTATATATAAAACTGTTAACTCAGCTAGAGGCATGAGTTATTGGAATATTGCACAAAAGACTAGAGGTGGAAAAATATTATTAAACTCAGAAAAATGTCCAAATGGCTTGAGATCAAATTTCAATATGATTTGAATTGATTAAAAAATATTCGAACAAAAACAATTTAAAGTGAAATAACTTAAATGTAAATTAATCTAAAAACAAATTAACTGGAGATTGATTCAATCTAAAACTTGTAAAACTTGAAGTTTTAACATGAAAATATTCAAATTGTAATTAACCTGAGATTAATCAAGTGAAAAAATCCAAAAAAGAATAAACCTAAAATAGCTCAAATTTGTCATTATTCAAATTTAAGATGGTTCAAACTGGAAATTATGAACTTGAAACAATCTAAACTCGAATGAATGTAAATTCAAAAACATAACTTGTCTAATTATCTTATAGGTGTGTTTGATTGAAATTATGTTGAAGTGTATGCTATTAAAGTAGCCATCTCTTAATTAAGAATAATTGGATGAACTAACTGAGTTAAATTCAAAATTTTTATCTAAATTGTGTTTCAATTGTGAGATATTGTTGTGTGTTTGGAGTTTTTTAGTAGTGTGATATTTTATATCATTTGTGATATTCTAATAGAATATCTTGACTTATCAAAAATAAGGATGCTCAACATTCAAACTTGAAGTATAAGGAATTATTGTCCGTACAATAGTATTAATTCACGGAATAAAGATTATATGAAAATAATTAAAGGGGAACATTTTCCTCACTATCCATCATGGAATAAATGCAAAGGAATTCATCATGGAATAAAGTAGATTAGAATAAAGTAAGTTAAAGGGAAACAAAATGCAAA